AAAATCAAAAAAATTTTTTTATTAAATTGGCTAAGCCACAATGTCGATCATCCAAATTCGGGTTTGTCCACCATGCTGGATAGGATTCTTACGTATCAACTTTTCCGAATACCGTTGGGGGTTGTTGTGCATGCACAAAACAAAAAAAAAAAATTTATTCAGGGTATTTTTAATACTTTCCATAGATTATATGTTTAGGTAAAACTGATTGTTTTTTAAGATAGCATAAAAAGGAATTCAAAGAGAATTTGTATAGAAATGATTGTCTTTTTTTTTTCAGCTATAATATAAGGACAATATAATAAGGAGGGACAGAATAAGGACAGTATAAGGACAGTGTAAGGACAGTATAAGGTAACTACTTGGACTAGCGTTTACTTTTCTTGACACTAAAGATTTAACGGTACCTTATTAAAAAGGAACGAAAGGACATAAATTGAGTACAAAGATAGAATGTATAATAGGCTTGGTCACGTGACAAGAATCAGTTTATTTTCCGATTTTACTTAGGTTTCATATGAATATATGTATTTCAAGTTTACTATAATAAGATATGTAAGTAAGTGTAAAGTCATCATTTACATAATAAAGGCTAAGCATTGTAAATATTTTATGTTGATAGTAAAATTTGGAAAGAATCTTAACGAAAAAGGATAAGGTCGGAGCAACACCAGAGCCAAGTGCATATAAATATGTAGGTAAGAATATTGTTCGACAGAGTACGGTCAGTAGTGTGAATCATTTCACGTTTACTTATTTACGCACGAATCATCGAATACGTTCATCATAATCGTCTATCACCTAAGTCGTTATATCTTTCAATGAAGTTATATTTTTCTTAATTCGGGATGAGTATATGCGTATTTAGAGTTCTGATGACCAAACGCATGATCATAAACGTGAGGATCATTTTGACTAAAAAAAGACTATAGTGAATCATTACTTAATATATCAGAGCACATTAACATACGGAATACCCCATGGTCACCAAGAAAATAGCACAAAATCGGTCTGTTTAATTTGATGAAGCGAGCCATTGTTCCAATCACGGAAAAATCTTAAATGGTGTGGAGTTGTGTATGGATCTAAAAATAGATGAACTCGAATTTTTCTGCGACTGATCTTAAATGGCCGCATGAAATAACATAGACTAAATAATTTATATTTATTATATTTATTATATGGCTTATCATATATTTACATACGTGTAACTTGCATGAAAAAAATTGTGTATTTTTTTTTATTCAAATAAGCTAAAAGAAATAAATATCTTTCTCCAATTTTCTCTTTTTTTTTATTTTTTTTTCTAGCCTTTTTTTTCTCACGATAATATTTTGGTCGAGAATAATTTTTCATAATACTTGGCGTTTTTGTCTTGTTTACCTTACTTGCCTTACTTGTCTTTTATTTTATAAATACGCTTGTTTAAGCATGGAAAATAAAAACGGGTTGATAAAAAAAGCTACCCTAGACAATGAATATGTAAAAAATCGGATTAATATAATAGAATATGAGTCGTTTGAAAAAATAACTCCTTTATCAACAAAAAATCAAATTCCTTGTAAAATTGTTTTGGCTACGCATGGAAAAAATCAAACTACTGTTTGTCTAAAAGCGCTAAGACAAAATTATTTTAATAATAAGAATACTGATCGAAATGTTATCGAACGATTTGTGAATGAGGTTGGTTGACAAATTTAATATTAAAAATTAATATTAAAAAAAATTGTTATTTCATTATAAATAACTCCGATTTTTTTCAGTTGATGCTATTGTCAAAATTATCTCATACCAATGTCGTGAAAATTTTGGGATTATGTCAAGGTGAGTTTTGAAATAATATAAAAAAAAAATTTATTATCGATTAAAAAAATGTTTTTATCGATTAAAAACAATTTAAAAAAAGGCTTTATCGATTAAAAAACGATTTTATTTTTTTTAGACCCAATAAGTGATAACACATTCCTAGTTACGCAATATGCTAACGATGGGTCCTTACGACAATATTTACAAAATGATTACCCACGGCTTACTTGGCTTGATAAAAAGAGGATTATAAAAGAAATTGCTAAGGGGTTAAATTATATGCACAATGAAGGAATTTCACATCGAAATTTGGTATGTAATGTTTTAATTTAATTTATTTAATATTATTTATTTAATATTATTTATTTAATATTAATTATTTATTTGACATTTAATTTATTTAATAATTAATTTATTTATTCATATATATTTAGAATCCTGATAATATATTAGTAAATGATGGTCATATGATGATTTCAAATATCGGCACTTCGGATAATGAGCAAGGAACATTGACTCTAAACGAAATGATACCGTTTATTGAACCTTTGTATTTGAAAGATCGACGTTATCAACGAGATAAACGATCTGACATTTACAGTTTAGGTGTTATTATGTATGAAGTATCAAGTGGTCGACCTCCTTTTGAATTGACTGGTTCCAATTTTCGCCTTTTACTTCAATTAATTTTGAATGGAGATAGGGAATCTGCGATTACACCTGGTACACCAATTCATTATGTTCAACTATATAGGCATTGTTGGAGTGAAGATCCTAACAAACGTCCAACTGCTGAACAAGTTTTGGATAATCTTGTAAAGATAATTATAGTAGCATCTATACATGATTCTAACCGTCGATTCAAATTTGAATCGCCACAGAAAAATTCTCCATTGCTTGATCATCCACCCTTGACTACTCCACTTATTTCACCACGAGTAGATTCAATTGGTAATTTAAATTGAAATTATTGAAATTTAAATGTGATTATTTAATGTGATTAATTTAAAAAATAATTCATGTTATTATTTATATGTTCATATGTTGTAGGTTGGCGCAATTCGATACATGAAATTACTATTGACCAAGGCAATTCGAACCATTTAGGATTACATCTTGTATGTTTTATATTTTCTAAATATTTACCATGTTATATACTTTTTTTCCTAATATTTGATATTTATAATATTTAATATTTACTATGTACTTCTTATACAGAATGTCATTGACCCATCATTAGGTGGAGACCCATCAATAAGTCGGGACCCATCAATAAGTTTTGACCCATCAATAAATCTTGACCCATCAATAAGTCGTGACCCATCAATAAATAGTAGATCCAAGTCACGTAGCGCAAGCTTTGAAACCTTAACGAATAAGCGTCCATATGTTCTAAATGAAAAAAGTCAAAGCTTTTATATTCCAAATAATGAGAAAATAGAGGAGATAAATCCTAATATCTTTAATATACGCGCTACATCATCATTATTTGATAGTCGTCAACCACAAATAATTTTGATAGCTCGTTATTCACCATCAAAAAGTATAATTCCAGTTTTAAATACATTAAAGAAACGAGGAGATGATCTAGGGAAAAGAGATATTTATAAGAAAAAAACGGTATTTCATAGTCTTATATGGAATGATGATTTATTTGAAATAACATTTGAACGATCCAAAAAGATTCCTCGTCATGATCGATTTCGAGCAGTAATACGATGGTTAATATCAAATGGTTTAGACATAGATGCAACAGATAATTTTGGATGGACAGCACTTCATGAAGCAATATGGAAACGTAAAGAACCAGGAGTAGTTTTAGCATTATTGGAAAATAATGCCAATCCGAATACACCAGATAATTTTGGATTAACACCATTACATCAATGTCTAGATATTTTACGTAAAACAAAAAGAGATGATGAAAATTCCAATGTTTTTACAATAATAAGATTACTTTTACATTCAGGAGCCGATCCAAATCTAACATTACCCGATTATACATTAACACTTTCAGGAGCATCATTACCAAATTGTTTATTTGCAGCAGTTTATCTTGGACTTCCATTGGATATTATTGAATTAATGATTAAAAGAGGAGCAGATGCTACATCCACAACATTTATGGGATTATTCTTGCTTGATTTTGCATCAAAAGTTAATAATACGTTGGCATTAAAATATTTGGCAGATAATAGGAATTTAATGAATAAAAGAACTAGTATATTTCATTCATTTAAACATACGTCAAAGATTGGATCATTTCCATTGAAACTAGAAAAACAAAATAATGGGATACGAAAGATATTGAATATATCTATTTTTTAAAAAAAAAATTTACATTCTTGTATGTATGTATTATGTATTTATGTATGTATTTTGATCTTTAGAATTTTTTATGTATCGAGTTATATAGAAACTTGTCCTGCATTTGGACGAATCTATCTTATTTAATTTTTTATTATTTATTAGTTACTTAACAATCCTTAACAATCTTTAACAATCCTTTACAATCCTTTACAATCTTTAACAATCCTTACAATCCTTAACAATCAATCAATCAATTAAATACAACTTTTTTTGTAATTACTTTTTTTTGCATTAGCACCTTCGTTTATTTTTTTTTTTAGGTCAAAGGGTCAAAAAGGAGATGGGTTTTCTTTTTCGATTTGGGTAATTTTAATCTAATTTCTTTTCTTTCAAATATTGGAGATAGTGTATTTTTTTTCTTTTTTTTTTTTGTATAGTTTAGATAGCACCAGATTTCGAAAATAGATTAACATATTGATATCGATATCGATTTTATCATCTATTATTATCATTATTTATTATCATTATTATTATGTTTTTTTTTTTTAATAATATCGATGAAAAATAGTATCGATTCAAAAAAAAAAAAAAAAAGGATATAATTAAAAATCAAGACTCAAGCATTACATAATTACTCATTCTCGAAATGGAACAATTGAACGAATGGATAAATTCTCTTGACAAAATTGTGAACAAATAGTAAAATGTGCCACTAATGCAATTTTTACATTAATGAAATATGCACATAATAAAGTCGTGATCATTTATTATGTTTTATTATGATTTGTGTTAACATTATTGACGTAATAAAATTATAAACATTACATAAATTTTTGGGGGTGGATTGTTTTTTGAATGATTATACCAGGTCGAACAACAGCTATTAGCATCTATTAGCATTTATTACAACACAACGTCTATTACAACGTCTATCATACAACATCTATTACAGCGTCTATCATAACATCTATCACAACATCTATCATAACATCTATCACAACATCTATCATAACATCTATCACAACATCTATTACGGCATCTATTACGCATATATTACGGCATCTATTACGCATATATTACGGGGGTTAGTAACCAAGCAACGTCATCGCACAGATGAGAAGCTTACTGATCAATAATTATTTGTGTTTGATAATTATTTAATTATTTGTGTTGTTGTTTTACGAACCATTCAAATGTGGCCTTACGAACCAGTCTTTGTCGTCTTACGAATCATCCTAATGCTGTCTTACGAATTATTCTAAAGGAGGTGGGAATAAATTTAAGAACAAAGATCCACGATAATTATTACACAAATTATTACACAAAAAACTCTTATCAAAACATTTCTTTTATGACAATCCGGTCTCGATTCATCTCTTTTTCAACCCCCTAAAACTGTTAATCTGCTCTTCATACTTAATACCTAAACTGCTTCGCATGTATCACTTTAAATATTTGTCATTTTATACCTACTTTTGGCTTGTAAATCTGCAATCAAGCTAATTTCAAACTAATTTAATGCTGTCATAATCTTGTTAGGGTAAAAATTAATCTTCATAAATCTTGTTAGGGAAAAGATTAATTCTTCATAGGGTAAAGATTTGTGAATGATCATTCATTTAGTACACAGATAATGATAAGCACGTACGTACGTACGTGTGTACCTGGTATTAAACGCATAGACATGCTATAAATGCTACGTATACATGCTATACATTTTATATATGCTATACATTTTATACATGCTATACATACTATTACATGTTATACATTTTATATATGCTATACATATTATTACATGTTATACATACTATTACATGTTATACATACTATTACATGTTATACTGCTATACATTTTATACATGCTATACATACTATACAGTACATGCTACGTTGCATTTACGCGATACTTTTAAAATGATAACTGTTAAGGAAACGATCATTTTTAATTTGTTTACGTGAAATAGATTTTCAATGCGAGTTAAAAAATTTCTAAATTTACTTTTTTTATTATTACAAAGGGTTAAAAATTTATTTTTAGCAAATTACTTAATACGTAATTAGAGATGAGCATAATACTTAATTATAGAATAACACATGATTTTAAAGTGATATTTTTATGCAAATAATAAAGTAAAAAAAATATTTCTCTTTATGGATATATATATGTACGATAATGAATATGTACCAAATTTGGCAACTTCATATATGCATATTAACAATCATTCTTTATATCTCCTTTATTAATTTTCGGTAAATAAATGTATAAATTAATAATCATATCATATCAATAATCATATCAATAATCTTAATCATATCTATTTTATCGGGGTTTTTTAAAGTTCCAAACAAGAATTTAAAGTTGCTCCTAATAAATTTAACGATCCCATAGATTTATATCAAATTAAGTTATGATCATATACAATTATGGTTTGAATAAAGTTTTATTTATCATTATTTTTTAACAATTACATAGATGACTTTCAACACGGTTTATACAATTCTGGTTTTTATAAAGTTTTATAAAGTTTTATAAAGATATATTTATCATTATTTTTAACAATTACATAGATGACTTTCAACAAGTATATCACTTATTATACTTACTTATACGTACGTACGTACTTACTTAAACTTACTTATACTGTAGATCGATATTAAGTGGTACGCATAAAGTGCCTAAATATATTTTTACACTATATTGTTCATAAAAATATATATACGTATACTGTACATACTGTTTATCTGTTATACGTACGTACGTACGTACTGTACGTATCTACATATTACAATATTAACGTGAATAATTTGAATAATAATGTATTATGATAAATAAGGCGATGTCGCAATATGGCGTATTGCATACATAAAAGCTTGTGATACTTGTTAGTTGTTCATTCTCCTGTTTGTATACCCATTTGTATAATACGTATCTATAATACTTTATGAAATCAAGACAACAAAGTTTATAGATAAAAGTGTTCAAATTAAATGTATGTTACACTATAATCTTATATAAACTTAACGTTAATTTATTAATAAAGATTTTTGGCTAAAACTTGAATTACTAATTCATTACTTTTAAAAGTCTATTTAACGGAGTATTAGTGGTATACAAATTATATATACTATATATACAATTGTACAGACATACGTACGTACGTACGTACTACATACAAGAATTATAAGTCAATGTTGTTCAAAATATTATTGACCGCAGACCGATACAATACGTAAGACGTGTTACCACACGCGACGATACGAACCTAGCCCTAGTCACCTGACCTATCTGATCTGATCTGGAGTGTAGTGTTAAATCTCCGCTAACATTAATGAATGTCAGTTAGTTATTTCGCTTTGCAAAAAGATGTGGCCTTTGCAGATCACAATGTCATGTGAGAATCGGAGATTCTATAGTTTTTCAAAGGAATATAAATTTAAACGAACGGAAATATAAAGACAATTTAAAATCTTTGAATTTTCTCCGATCATCACAAAAATCATGTGGCCATATCTTTGCAAAGCGTTATAAAACAATTAGTTAAACAAATTATATACATCTGAAACCCTAATCAGTTGCATCGATTATGATCTATTGATTATCACGGGTGGTGCTGATAATTGATTTAAATCAAATTGATAATCGATTATAAAATCGATTAAAAGCGATTAAATAAATCGATGCTTCATTTTAAATCAATTATAATCAATCGATTTTAATCGATGGTGGTGAATTTTAATCGATTCTAATCGGATTGTTAAAATAGTTAGTTAAAACAGTTAAACAATTAGTTAAACAGTTAAACAATTAGTTAAACAGTTAAACAATTAGTTAAACAGTTAATTAAACCAATTAGCTTTAGAATTACCCAAAAGCTTTACAGGTCAGATGACCAGCACTTTGTGACTAATCTCAACGATATTAAACCTAATTAACTAATCGTTAAACAAATAAATGATTCTTTTTACTGTAATATTTGCTACAGATGAAACAATCTTTTGTAATTAAATACAACCCAAATTTTAAATATACCTTCTGTTTAATTAGTTGCCAATTAATTAATACAGATACAGTATACAGAACATTATAACTTATGTGGGAATTGCAATATTACATACAATCATGAAATATGTCACGAAATATGCTAATGTCTTTTATTTTCAAATATATCGCGTGTCATTTCTTAGAATACCTGACAACCACGAAAAGATGGCGAAAAGATTACGAAAAGATTAATTGGTATCACAGATATGCAATCCAAAAATCAAGATCATGCAATAAATGCATAAGAGTTGAAATATTTATACTGACAAATGAAATTATTACAACTCAAAAAAATTATTTGAAACATTTCTTTGTTTATCTAATATATACTATGACCTAATAATAACTACAATCATTAAATCTGCTGATTTATCTGATATTGATAACCATAAATGTAAAAGTACAAAAGAATGAATAATTTCGGTTATAATGCATGAATATTTCGACAATGCTAAAATATCACTTATTGTTGAACTTTTAAAGCGATCAGGCGCGAAGGTTTTACTTTGTATAAAGTATATTCGGTCAATTGTCAGTCAATCGTCAGTCAATTGTCAATCAATTGTCAGTCAATTACTGAATTATCTTGGATTTTAATGCTAAATTGAAAATCACACATGTTAAGTTCTTATCGCATGAATGCGATACCCATCGTTCTGATGACTTTATCATAAGAAGGAATCTAAATATATCCTCGAATTCATTTGATTCATTTAATTCATTTCGAGGTGGTTCATTCGTATTTAATTCATTTTATTCATTTAATCTGGATCTTTTCATGATTACATCACCATAGATTTTTTGATTATAGATTTTGATTATTTTTTTTTTTGAATGCTATATTTGATTACTAGCTCATCCCTCAAGAACTTGTTCTTCATAATAGTCATTTATGATAAACAATACTCTCTTTTGTTCTATCGATGGCCAGGTTAAAACTGGCCAATGCGGGCTTTTCTAATGCAAAAGCAGTTAAATTCTTATTACGTGATTGATATTGATTGATCTAAGGTTTCATGGCTAAACTATTCAAATAGAAACATAAGAAACATACCTGAAAAAATAAAATAATAAAAACTTTAATGATGGTTTTTGATGGTTTTTTTTTTTCTTTTTTTAAACTGATCAATTCAGTTATGTCCTCTTTTTTGTCAGGACGTTGACGCTGGCTCTGATCGTTCGTTCTCTTTTTTCTTCTCTAAGAAAAAATGTTGATGAAAATATTTTCCATCTTGTATATAAAATATAGACGTATAGATTATTAATTTGATTCATTTTATCTTCTGATTATTATAAAAATTTACTCCTTTGTAAACCCTTCTTTTTTATTTCTCAGAAATCTCAGAAATGCAAATAAAACATATATTCCTTCGAATTTTATCTTTTTTCATTCTTTTTATTTTCTCAAATTCGATATTTGTAGAAAGCAATGATTTTTCCGAAATTTTGGATCACGATGAAAATGCAATAAATGAATATCATAAATTTTATCCTAGAATCAATCCAAATGATAACGATGGGAGACGACTACATTTCATATGTAAGTAATTGATACTATAATACTATAATACTACAATATAATATTTATAATATCAAAATACCAGTCAAATCCTTGATGTAAATGTGATCTGATTTTAATATTGTTAATATTTTAATATTTTAATATTTTAACATTTTAACATTTTAAACATTTGTAGCTCTCGGCTTATCTCAAGTAAGTACTTTATACTTTACGTAGTAGATGTCAAACTTTAAAAAAAATACTGCATGTTACCTTAACTACACATTAGTTTACGCATTCATTTGATTAAAATCAATCCATTATTCATTGTCATACAAAAAAGGTTAGCCTAATAGGAAACCTTTTCGTGATATTCCAAACTCGTCGAAGAATTAAACAAAATGTCAATCTGTCGATGGGAATTCGATTGCCAATGTACATAGCGATTAATAATTCATTATCATGCTTATCTTACTTTGCAAATATTGTTGGTACTTTGATTATTGGTGTACCTTGGACTGGTCAAGCTTGTATCATTTATGGTTTCTTTGATGTATTTATGGTTTCTATGAGGTATTCCATTATTGTTAACCTATCCTACTTTCCTTAATTTATCATAAGTCCTTGATAAGTTTCTACGTATAATCACTATAATTTACTAATTTTGGTATATCTTGGAATAATTGAATTGATACTGATATTGTGTACTTAGTATCACATTAATAGCTCTGGTAACAATTCGAACTTATTTAAAAGTTATAAGAAATTTTTATCTTGATACTGGAAGATATGATTATAGGTAACGTGTCAATTGTATGTATATTGTATGTATAACTATGTAATTTGTGTAATTTTCATGTATGTATTCATTTTATTTTTTTATTATTATTTTTTATTATGAATTCTTATGTCATTGTATAACAATAGATTATTCTTGGTCATGATTGTAAATGCGTTAATTTTCGCGTGCATTGGGTTACCATCGTATGGTCCATCAAAATATTGGTACGTACGTACATACATACATACTGATACTGTTATCAAATACCAATACGTACATGCTTATGTATCTGTATATGCCTTAACTTTTTAATACGTATGTAATAATTATATGTACGTAATACGTAATAGGTGTTGGAGTTCTCCAGGCCAATGGTCACTTGCAATTTCAATTTCTAGTTTAATATTTGTAACTGCTCTGTTATGCATAGTTTGTTACTCTCATATAATCTATACTATTATAACAATTCGAAGACCTGATGGAAATGTTGGAATTAATGATGTACAGCAAAAAACTGCTACACGAAAGATTTTGGCTTATACTTTCAATTACTTAATTCAATGGGTATTGCATTTCATTTTATATACTAAAGGGGTTAAATTATCATTTCAAGGGGTTAATGCTTTCTCTTACAAGGGGTTAATTCTTCTATTTTTTATTTATTATTTTTTTTAGACGCCAACATTACCATTTATCATAGGAGTAGCCAGTGGAAATGATCCTTTATGGGTTTATTACCTTTGTGTACTATCGATTAATGTTGGTGGTATAGCAAATGCTATTCAATACATTTGTCATGAAGGATTTTTATCAAAATCAAGAACCCTGTCGTCACACCAGGTTTCAAACTCAATTTCAAACTCTAATACGTCGGAACAACTTTCGGAAACGAGTTATAACTCTGAATTACCTGTTTTGAAAAAGGAAATAAGCTGTTGTGCTAGTATATGTTTTAATACTTTATTGAGTTATGGTTCTAGAACTGATGTTAAATGGAATGACTTAAATGAAATGATTGATATTGAATTGGGTGAATTAACAAATTCTTCCGTAAATAATATTCCTAATTAGGCAAATATGAAACATATTCATGCAATTTTGAAAATTATAAATTTTCTGTTTATTTTCTTTGTTAGGATAGGTCAGATTTAAATAATTATAACCTTTTTTTAGTGTTCATAAATGTGCATATATATACAAAAAAAAATTCTTGTAAATATATTCGGTTAACTTTTTTAAATCAATATTGTAATTGTTAAGAATATTTATATCTTTTCAAACATGGTTGATGTTAAGATTTGGAATTCAATTGCGAATACGTATCAGCCCTACGTACTAAAACCTCTTACTACATAACAACAAACCCTAATGAAATGTGCCCCGAAACATTGAAACTTCATATCAAAAGTTTCAGCGTCAGTCAATTTTAATCTCACATAAATAGTCTGTACAATCTAAGATATATCTTCCATCGAATGTCATACGTTTAAAAAAAGTACAACTTAAAGGAGAGATTGAAAATTAAGAAATATATATTCATTTAAGGAAATGCATTTATTGGGTGTACATACGTACGTACGTACGTACGTATTGAAGCTATGCAAAGTACTCCTACATTATGGAATTATGGAATACGGGAATAGCACAAAATATCTATATAATTTCAATTATTTTACAAAAAAACATTACCTATTTTGTATGTGAATTGAAATTTTAATTTCTATTTGTGATCATCTCCTGAGATTTGCCGTTATTGTTATACAGCTACCCAAAATATATCCGGATAACTTAAGGTAGTGAAAATTTTTAAAGGTTTGAACAAAAATACCTAAGGAGTAATACATTAATAATTGGTGATACGTATTCAAGCACAATTTCAAAGTGCTGTGGCGTAACTTATAGCGTAACCAAGCCAAAATTGCGCAAAAAATTCTATTAATGGATCTATACGTAGTCGCTCGTCAAAATATTTCCGGACCAAGTTACCATCAAGTACGTAGTGTCCCACAGCCCGAACTGAAAACCCGGAACCGGCATTCGGGTCCAATATTATATCGAAATTTCAATTAACAGTCAGGAATATGTCACACTGTGTGATAAATAGGGATGGTAAAGTTGCTAGGTTTGGAACCTAAAACCTGGTTTTTAGAACCTGGTTTTTAAAAACTAGGTTCCAATTTTGGAATCTAGGTTTTTAGGTTTATGATAGGTTTTTAAGTTCTTAGATTTATAATAGGTTTTTAAGTCTAGATTTATAATAGGTTCTTAGATTTATAATAAGTTCTTAAGTTCATAATAGGTTTTTAAATTCATGATAGGTTCTTAAAGAACAATAAAAAAAAGTGCATTTTAGAAGTCATGTATTTATTTGAGCCTGAATTTAAGAATGCTTTAAAGAGGTGTGGCAACTTAGTGAAGTTGGTAAGTTGTCACCCCTCTAAATGGCAGGTCTAGAGTTCAAATCTCACTGGTGATGATTTTGAAAAATAAGAATTGTTTCGGTAACATTTATTAGATGATAGGTTGGGTGTACCACCTATAACCTTGGTACCACCATTTTGAATAGGAGCTCTCAGTCAAAGTTGTATGACATCATACAGACAAAGCCAAGGAACCAGAATCCTAGGGAAACTAACAGGATAACCAAGTTCAGGTAAATGAGTAGGAGCATTTTGGTATAAAGGTATCTAGCTTAAAATAATTGGTAGATAGATATAATCAGAGGGTTTAAATAGATAATCATTTAGTTGGATTATAGGTATGGCATCTAGTGTAGAACCTTTGGACAGACTACTTAAATAGGCAACCAAAAGTTGTACGTGTAGCTAGTTATACTCTCGTTGTAATACTAAATATAAGACCCCTGTGGTCAACAGTTAAACATCAATAAAGCTTGATCCCAAAAGACACCTTAAAAATAAAATAAAATAAAAAAAAAAAAAAAAAATGCTTTAAAGAAGATATGCATTTATAGAGTCATATTTATTGAGGTTTCACTGTATTAGTTAGACCCAAGTGAAGACATATATTTACAAAGAGCTTTCACAGAGCATGCATACTAGGGAGTTGCATTTAGAGGTCTTACTATACTATAAAACTTTTGTCTTATTCAGGTTCTAGAGCCAGGCTTCAGAACCAATTCTAGAACCAAGTTTGGAACCAGGTTCTGGAACTTTTTAAAAACCAAGTTTTTAGGTTTACAAAATGAAACCTAAAGGTTTTGAAACCAAAACCAAATCTAAACCAACCTATATAATATATATCACCTGTAGTTGATGTTTGCAGACAAGTACACTAGCTATAGCAAAAATAAAATATCAGATTATGTGATTTTTGGTGCTCTGAATTATCATTTACTAATCAAAATTTAGGATCTGGTGTATGTTAACTAAATTTTGCTTATGAAATCACTTTTTGTGTTCTAAATAAAAAAATTCTTACAAAATTTTGCTATTTGATGTGTTTTTTCTAATTCTCATTATATGCTTTTCCTTTTAATTATGTGTTATTTTCTATTATTTTAATTTTAAGATATTATTTGGAAGTCATATAACTCTATACTTTGTTTTTGCCATAGCTAAGGTACAATTTGTGACATAATATATAATTATCTGTGGCTTTACAAATATCGAAGTCTGCAAATTTTGTGACATAATATATAAAATTGAATCTATTTAAAAGCACTAAAATAATCTGGCTAAATTAAGCAACTCTAACCACTTTAACATACTAGAGTAAACTGATTAAAACAAGTAGTTGAATATAGATATAAAAATAAATTCAAATACAAAAGGAGAAAGAATTTAACATATATATATATTATGTATGAAATTTAAAAAAAATTGAATAATCTCAGATTGGCCAGATTGATTGAATTTGATTTGAATCTAGGATTAGATCAATTTCAGTTTAATTCTGATATATCCAGTTCAAAACACTAACCAGAGCTACTCTACAAGGTAAAATAAAGTAGTAAAATTATTTAAAAAATTTTTTGTTAATATATAAAGAATTAGAATATTTGTTTCAAAATTTTTTAATTATAAGATATTATACCAAATCAACATTCTTTATTGGCTTTCTTTTTTAGATTATCATATGATCTACAAAGTTTGCTATCATTTAATATATCTTTTACTAAATATAGAGCCTTATTAAAAACTATATAATAATAATTAAATAATAATTTTAAAAATATTCAATGCTAATGAATTTAATTATTGTGCTTATAGAGAAAATGAACTTGATTTTTCAATAATATAGAAGATATAAAAGATCCAAACAACAAAATAATATAGATGTAGAAAAGAAGATATATATAAAACAATTAGTATAGATAATAATAATATAGATAATACAGATAATGTAGAAAATATAGAGGATGTAGAAAATAAACTACTAATATTGTTATAAAAATAATAAACTTATTAAAAAATTACCTATATAAATTATTTTGATAAAAAAATATTGAAGAAAAGTTATTGCAAAAATATATAAAATGCAAACAAAGATATAGTTAAACTACAGCTACTAGCATTCTTAATACCTATCTTAAAAATAAATATAATATTATACTTATTTTAAAAACTAATCAACTATCGTTACTTCAAAGACCCTATAGTAAAAATAATACTCAACAAAAAAAACAGTGTTTTAAAACTATATTTAATCTTATAATTGGTGCTTAACTTCTATTTTCATTTTTTAAAAACTCTCATTTTTACAATACAGTAAATATATATAATTTAAAATATCAGTTATCTTCAAGTTAATATATAATAAATAGCACTATTTTAATTTGAATTATGTCATATACTTGTTGTATAAAAATCTAAAGCTCTTAATATCAAAGTAGCACTTACTACTGATATTTAGACATCAATTTTAAACTAAGCTTATCTGAGTATTACTATATATTATATTAATAATAAATAGAAAATTTGTCATTTTTACTTGATTTTATTCCTTTGAATATTATCATATTGCAATATATATAAAAGCTTGATGATATTTGTGAAGAGATGGGTATTAATAGCAAGATAATTTACTAACAAATAATGATTTACAATAGTTTTATATAAAAATTTAATCGAATGAGAATAGTATGAATTTGGATTTAGTCATCATTGTTGTACAGCTTATATACTTAATATTGCTGTAAAAAGTAGCATAAAACTTCAATATAAAGGAATTGGCAAGGTTTAGTAGTTTGTAAATAAGGTTCAAAAAAATTAACAGTTTTATATAACAAACTTCAAAATTTTTATAAAATAACTCAAAAACTATATAACAAGTTAATTGTGATATAGTTATATATTAGAATAGTACTTATTATATGCTTTGTCAATTTAAAAAGATGTATAAAAAACTTGACTTATTACAACTGCATATCAGAAATTTAAAAATAATTACTCTAATTAAGAAGAGTAGAAAATTAATAAAAATTTACTAGAGTCAATATATAATGTAACAAAAATTCTTTTCAAAAGTTCATATTCAAATATTTCTGATTTTTGTTTAATTTTTATAGGGTTATTTTACTTATATTGATCAATTTAAAGCTTATAATTTACATTTAGAAGCTGAATATTTTTAGCAAAATTAATTAAAAAAATCAAATAAATATTAGTCCATTCTTGATGCTAATGAACTAACAAAAATAGCATCAATTCTTAACTTAATATTAAAGCTATTAACATTTTAGCTTAATAATGAAAAAAATATTATTTTTGTTAGTCTGCAGAATATAATTAATCAATATAAATCAATACTAGCAAGTGATACTTCTAATACTTCTAAATTAATATTTGATGATAAATAAAAAAAATTTATATCATTAATAATGCAGCAAATAATTGAAACACCACCATTAACAGAAGCGTTAAAAAAATATTTATCTATATCAACTATTAATAATGATTCTCTATAATAGTATGATAATAATATATATAAAATTTCAATATTTGCTAGAATAGCACAAGAATATCCTTCAATTCAAAAATCTAGTGTTTTTTGTAAAAAAGTATTTTTTATTGCTTTAATAATACTTTCAAAACTTTACAATTAACTTAATCCTGATATTGTTTATACATCACTTTGTTTAAAAAGTTGAATAGAAAATAATATTAGAATATATAAAAAGATTAATTATTTTTTATTTTTATAATATTTTATATAGTATTTTTGACTTACTAAGTTGTATTTTGTTAAGTTAATTTTAGAATTCTTTTGATAAAATTATTTAGTCAAAATTAAACTATAATATAATTGAATTATATATATAACATTATTATAATATTATTAATTTAGCTATAAATAATTTATTTTATTTATTATATTAATATATAAATTTTATATCAAAACTTATTTTAAATTATTAGGCTAAATAAATTATTCAATTTTTTTAATATATATTTAAAATTTAAACTTA